TTTGTACAGAAAGCTCTTATGCTCGTCGCTCATAGATGTTCTGCAGAATCGTACCTGCTACGATTCCCATCGAGATTTGTTTCACTTCACCTCCAGACCTTCAGAGTGCAGTTATATGTAGAGAAACAAGTCTGAGGACGCTTAGACTAACCTCTACTATAACTCCAACTGTCGAGAAAATGACACTTGTCAAGCCGCAGTTTAAGCCCTGTCAGCAGGCGCTGTGTCAGCCTCGTGTCATAGCTTCAGTGAGCTCCTGCACAATGATGTCACTTTGACTGCTAGCTCGCTCACTGCAGTGTGGTGTATGATGTTACGACTCCCTGATTCGCCCAGTCGTCTCTGCCACGACTCGCTCCACGACTCACTCCACGCTCTCCGGCAGTGACAGCCCAGCGACAGTACCAGTTGAGAAGTGTCCTCCTGAGTCGCTTGCCAGAAGTCCTGCTCAGTTGCCGAGTTTTGACGATGCCTCACTCAAGGGCACCAGCATGTCGTGGCCCAGGTTGAGTGAAACCTGCAGTGACTCCTACGATGACTGCTTCGCCGTTCTAGAGGAGACCGTACCCTGTTATGTCACAGCTCAGCCGCAGCGATGTCTCCTGTGTTGCAGTGATGCCCATCGATGCTCACTGCCTATGACCGTGATGTTTAGCACACCCCACATGTTTTTTTCTTCCCTCCCTTTAGGAAGTTTTTTTTTCCATGTCCATATGTATATACATGTGTTCTGTGTCCTGTTCCTACGAGAGAGACATCGAGTTTTTTTTACTACCAGTATTGTCGCGTCGGGACGACGTGAGGTAGGTGGTCGAGCAAATGTAGACAGCCTGTACTGTCTGCACAGACAGCCTATGCTGTCTGCCAGCTTAGTTCATATTTCGCGGCACTAAGGTGCTGCCCTCTCTAGGCCTGCCCAGGTCAGTGGGACGCTGGTCCCACTCGCTCATTCACTCAGCGGCCTAGAAGCAGACAAGAAGCCTAATCCCTCTCTCTCTCTTGGCATGGCCCTCCCGGGCCATGGGCACATAACACACAAGCCTGTGTACCCACCATGACTTTTCAAATAAAGTAAGAAGCCTCCGAAGATGTATCATTCACTCATCCGCTACCAGAAACACCAAATAATCTCGTTCACAAATCTTCAACTTGTCGGTTTTGAAAACTGTTTATCTCACACAGTTACATGACTTACCATACATTGTAGCATATGTGTAGATTACCTAGGATAACCCAAAAAGTCAGACAAGTGACTTTTTCCACTGGGTAAACAGGTGTAGCGGAAAACGTCGCTTGTCTGGTTGTACGGCTGGTCCCAGGTCTAGTATTTGAATGCCGGACGTCTCTTTTTGGTCATAATTGGTCGGTTCTTTGTCGTCAAGATCAGGTTTCTTGGGTGACTATAGGTTCTTTGTAGTTAGTGAATCTGTACTTGCAATTAGGCCATCACTGGAGCTTGGCATGGACATCTATACGAGGCACGGACATCCACAGCACATACACACACCTACACACAACACACACACAACCTACACAAGAAGATAGAGGGAGAAAAAGGTGATTGAAAATGTCATTAAAGCAATAGGAGAGGATGACATGACCCAGCTGAGTAATTTTCTGAGAATAAAGGGGTTTGCAAGCGATTTTCAACACAGAATCAGCTCGAAACAGTATCCTGCAGGAGAAAGCAAGACTAAGGACATATCAGCATACCGGAGGGTGCACCTCGACTGCGACAATACTAAAAGAAAGACAGAAACTCAAAGACAGGGTACAAAGATACAAGGATGAAAGAGAAGCAAAGACAAGGTATGGTAAGGAGAACCCAGACTCAGGAGAAAGAGCAAATACAACATCTCCCAGAACCACCTATAGACGGCCCTCAACCACAACAACCCTAATGTATCCAAACAATCTAACCCAAAACCCACGCACTATACGCACTGCCCCCCCCCATCACAAACTCTACCTTCATAGCAACCCTACATAGTTCCCCGCCAGGTCTCCCACTCCCTATCCCTACCGTATTTCCCAAACCACAGTTTTTGAAGAGTAGTAGAAGGTTTTGTATATGAGTGCGGATGGAATAGCAAATAATTGTAAGGAGTGGCATGAAAGAATCAAGGATACGTCCCCCGACATCATAGCACTCACAGGAATGAAATTCACTGGGATGATTAACAGAACGCAATCTTCCCACCTGGATATCAGATCTTGAGGAAAGATAGAGGGAGCAGAGGGGAAGGAGGAGTTGCACTGCTCATTAAAAACCGATGGGGATTTGAAGAAATGGCAGGAATGGACGGAATGAGAGAAAGGGACTACATAGGAACAATTCAGTCTGGGGCCAATAAGGTAGTAATTGTAGTGATGTACAACCCGCCAAAAAACTGCAGGAGGCCAAAAGAAGAATATGAAGACAGCAATAGAGCAATGGCAGACACACTATCTGAGGTGGCCAGAAGAGCTCACACGGGTAGAGCAAAGTTACTAGATATGGGTGATTTTAATCACAAGGAAACTGACTTGGGAAACCTGGAGAAACATGGGGGTCACGAAATATGGAGAGCCAAGATGATGGATATGGTACTGGAAAACCTCATGCATCAATATGTTAGGGACACCACCGAAGAGAGGAGTGAGGATGAACCAGCAAGACTGGACCTCGTATTCACCTTGAGTAGCTCGGACATCGAGGACATCACATATGAAAGGCCCCTTGGAGCTAGTGATCATGTAGTTCTGAGCTTTGAATAGATAGAGTTACAAGTGAAGAGTGTAACAGGAGTAGGATGGAAAAAGCTAAACTACAAAAGATGGGAATACACAGGCATGAGGAACTTCTTACAAGAGTTTCAGTGGGAAAGAGAACTGGCAGAAAAATCGGTAAACAAAAGATGGAGTACGTGACAACAAAATCCAGAGGCAGAGGAGAGATTTGTTTCCAAGAACAACAGAAATAATGGGAAGACCAGAACTAGCCCTTGATTCACTCAGAGATGTAGGTTTTCAAAAAATTAAGTGCACTAGAGAATTGAAAAAATACAGAAAATAAAGGACTCTGGAAAAAAAAAGACTTTAGTCGAAGAGCCAAAAACGAGTATACACAAATAAGGAGGGAGGCCCTGAGACAGTACAAAAACGACATAGCATCGAAAGTCAAGTCTGACTCAAATCTGTTGTACAGTCACTTCAGGAAGAAAACAACAGTCAAGATTGAGGAAGGAATGTGGGGAGCTCACAAGAAGCAACCAAGAAGTACGTGAGGAACTCAACATGAGATTTAAAGAAGTATTTACAGAACAGACAGAAAGGACATGACGGAAGGGATAGGCTCATAAGTATCCCTGATTGCATATGATGTGGAGTTAATGAGGAGGATTGAATGAGGACCAAGCGGGACTACAAAGAGACCTGGACAGGCTGCAAGCTTGGTCCAGCAACTGGCTCCTCGAGTTTAACCCCGCCAAATTCAATGTCATGAAGATCGGGGAAGGCAAAGAAGACCTCAGACAGATTATAGTCTACTTAGCGAAAGATTGCAAACCTCTCTCAAGGAAAATGATCTTGGGGTGAGTATAATACCGAGCACATCTCCTGAGGCGCACATCAACCAGATTGCTGCAGCATATGGGCACCTGGCAAACCTAAGAATAGCGTTCCGATATCTCGATAAGGAATTGTTCAAGACTCTGTACACCCTTTATGTCAAGTCCATATTGGAGTATGCAGCACCAATTTGGAACCCACACCTGATCAAGCACGTCAGGAAATTAGAGAAAGTGCAAAGGGTTGCAATAAGACTAGTCCCAGTGCTAAGGGGAATGTCCTATTAAGAAAGGTAAAGGGAAATCGGCTTGACGACACTGGAGGACAGGAGAGTTAGGGAAGACATGATAACGACATAAAATTCTGCGAGGAAATGGCAAGTTGGACAGAGAGAGAATGTTCCAGAGACGGGACACAGAAACAAGAGGTCACATTTACAAGTTGAAGACTCAGATGGGTCAGAGGGATGTTAGGAAGTATTTCTTCAGTCAAAGAGTTGTCAGGAAGTGGAATATTCTGAAAAGTGACGTAGTGGAGGCAGGAGCCATACATAGTTTAAAGAAGAAGTTTGATAAAGCTCATGGAGCAGGGAGAGAGAGAGGCCCTATTAGCGATCAGTGAAGAGACGGGGCCAGGAGCTATGAATCGACTCCTGCAACCAAATAGGTGAGTATAACACACGTACACAACACACACACGCCTACATACCTACACAATGCACGCACCTACACAACACACAAACCTGCTCAACACACACAAACACACCTGGCGGGGCCAGGAGCTGAGTCTCGACCCCTGCAACCACAATTAGGTGAGTACAGTTAGGTGAGTACCTATACAACACACGCACCTACGCTACAGACCCACACAACACTCACACAACACACACGCCTGCACAACACATACCTACACAAAACACAAGCACACCTATACAAAACAAGGACACCTAATCAGCACACGGACTCCTAGGCAGCACACGGACACCTAGGCAGCACACGGACTCCTAGGCAGCACACGGACTCCTAGGCAGCACCAACAGGAACACTCAAAACACGTCCAGATACTTGAGGTCGTCCACTGATTTACAAAGATACTGATCAAAAAATAAATGGAATATTGTGCGAGGAAAGAAATTAGAGCTAGTGGGAGATATAATTACTAAGTTGGCCATACTCGGATTACTTAGCAAAGTAGACAGCTTTTGGGGACTGAAGACTAGAGTGGACGGAAGTTAAAGATTTAGATACATCACAAGGTATACCAGAAATGCTTATTTGTTGATGAGCTGGAAGTGGAACGACCTGGATGAGTGAATGAAACTGTCCTGAGGAGTGAAGCACCATGCATGATACTGTTTGTGAGTAGTTAAGAGGCTGCTAGTGATCTTGAAACATCTCCCGCAGCTAAAATTAAGTTACTACTAATAAGCAAGTTAGCGACTTGCAGCTCACCTGAAGATTGTAAGCCTCTCGTCGCTAGATGAGGAGAAGGCAGTAGATGCCACAGGAGAGCGGTAGACGAAAAGTGAGTCATGAATGGCTGCGCACTGCTATTTATTGGCCTTGGACCATCCACAGCCCACATCCTATTTCCAGACATTTAGTAAATTTTCTGATGAACGCGGATGATTTTTACCCCTTGACAGCATATGTCAGAAAAAATTATCAGTTTGTATATAATTAATATCAGATACGATTCTAATTATAAAATTGTCATTTAACTACTCAGCGGAAATGATTGGTTAATGTCATGATGTGGAAACTCTTGTAAGTTTACTCTACCGTATGTCGACCTTATAAACATGCTAACGTAAACGTTTAAGTATTGTCAAGTTAGGAAATAATGAAAAGTAAATTTTAATGTTTTCTTAGTCTTAAAAATAAAATATAATTACGGAGAAATAATAAAATATGTATATTCTCAGGATTTTAAGAACAAAACAGACAAATATAAACCATCTTGACTGTAAGACAAAGAAAAATAATTTGTCATAAATTCAATGAATTACGACACCGAGATTGGTTCATTTAGAGACGTCTAAATAAAACTAACGAAAACATCAACAGTAACCGGAACACTAAATAGAAATAACAAACAAAAATATAGCTGTGATTACCTATTACAAAAAAACACAACAGAAGGATTTTTTACTGCCACAAGAGCTAAGGAAGCAGCGCTAACAATGTTACACTCTAATATCTGCAGTAAAATACAAATTGGACATAAAATCTGAATCTGCTTCACAAAATCCTTCTCCATCTCTAACCTTCATGAGGCTGAGTACTACCATCCAGGAGGACCATTCTTACTGAGGCTGAGTACTACCATCCAGGAGGACCATTCTTACTGAGGCTGAGTACTACCATCCAGGAGGGCCATTCTTACTGAGGCTGAGTACTACCATCCAGGGTGGGGGAAAAGGGACCATACTTACTGAGGCTGAGTACTAACGTCCAGGAGGAGGTGGACCATATCTTACTGAGGCTGAGTACTACCATCCAGGAGGGCCATACTTACTGAGGCTGAGTACTACCGTCCAGGAGGACCATTCTTACTGAGGCTGAGTACTACCATCCAGGAGGACCATTCTTACTGAGGCTGAGTACTACCATCCAGGAGGGCCATTCTTACTGAGGCTGAGTACTACCATCCAGGAGGCCATACTTACTGAGGCTGAGTACTACCATCCAGGAGGACCATTCTTACTGAGGCTGAGTACTACCATCCAGGAGGGCCATACTTACTGAGGCTGAGTACTACCGTCCAGGAGGACCATTCTTACTGAGGCTGAGTACTACCATCCAGGAGGACCATTCTTACTGAGGCTGAGTACTACCATCCAGGAGGGCCATTACTTACTGAGGCTGAGTACTACCATCCAGGAGGGCCATACTTACTGAGGCTGAGTACTACCGTCCAGGAGGACCATTCTTACTGAGGCTGAGTACTACCATCCAGGAGGGCCATACTTACTGAGGCTCAGTACTACCGTCCAGGAGGACCATTCTTACTGAGGCTGAGTACTACCATCCAGGAGGGCCATACTTACTGAGGCTGAGTACTACCGTCCAGGAGGACCATTCTTACTGAGGCTGAGTACTACCATCCAGGAGGGCCATACTTACTGAGGCTGAGTACTACCAACCAGGAGGACCGTTCTTACTGAGGTTGAATACTAACATCCAGGAGGATCGTTCTTACTGAGGCTGAGTACTACAGTCCAGGAGGGCCGTTCTTACTGAGGCTGAGTACTACCAACCAGGAGTACCGTCCTTACTGAGGCAGAGTACTACCATCCAGGAGGACCGTTCTTACTGAGGCTGAGTACTACCGTCCAGGAGGACCGTTCTTACTGAGGCTGAGTACTACCATCCAGGAGGACCGTTCTTACTGAGGCTGAGTACTAAAGTCCAGGAGGACCATTCTTACTGAGGCCGAGTACTACCATCCAGGAGGGCCATACTTACTGAGGCTGAGTACTACCAACCAGGAGGACCGTTCTTACTGAGGCTGAATACTAACATCCAGGAGGATCGTTCTTACTAAGGCTGAGTACTACAGTCCAGGAGGGCCGTTCTTACTGAGGCTGAGTACTACCAACCAGGAGTACCGTCCTTACTGAGGCAGAGTACTACCATCTAGGAGGACCGTTCTCACTGAGGCTCAGTACTACCATCCAGGAGGACCGTTCTTACTGAGGCTGAGTACTACCATCCAGGAGGACCGTCCTTACTGAGGCCGAGTACTACCATCCAGGAGGGCCGTTCTTACTGAGGCTGAGTACTACCATTCAGGAGGACCATTCTTACTGAGGTTGAGTACTACCATCCAGGAGGACCATTCTTACTGAGGCTGAGTACTACCATCCAGGAGGACAGCTCTTACTGATGCTGAGTACTACAATCCAGGAGGATTGTTCTTATTGAGGCTGAGTACTACCATCCAGGAGGATTGTTCTTATTGAGGCTGAGTACTACCATCCAGGAGGACCATTCTTACTGAGGCTGAGTACTACCATCCAGGAGGACAGCTCTTACTGATGCTGAGTACTACCATCCAGGAGGACCGTTCTAATTGAGGCTAAATACGTACCATCCAGGAGGACCATTCACACTGAGGCTGAGTACTGCCATCCAGGAGGATCATTCTTACTGAGGCTGAGTACTATCATCAAGGAGGATCGTTTTTACTGAGGCTGAGTACTACCATTCAGGACCATTCTTACTGAGGCTGAGTACTACCATCCAGGAGGACCATTCTTACTGAGGCTGAGTACTACCATCCTGGACAGTTCTTACTGAGGCTGAGCACTACCATCCAGGAGGACCGTTCTAATTGAGGCTGAATACTACCATCCAGGAGAACCATTGTTAATGAGGCTGAGTAGTGCCATCCAGGAGGATCATTTTTACTGAGGCTGAGTACTACCATCCAGGAGGACCATTCTTACTGAGGCTGAGTACTATCATCCAGGATGATCGTTCTTATTGAAGCTGAGTACTACCATCCAGGAGGAAAATTCTTATTGAGGCTGAGTACTATCGTCCAGGAGGACCATTCTCACTGAGGCTGAGTACTACCATCCAGGAGGACCATTCTTACTTAGGCCGACTACTACCATCCAGGAAGGCCATTCTTACTGAGGCTGAGTACTACCATCCACGAGGACCGTTCTTATTGAGGCCGAGTACTGCCATCCAGGAGGACCGTTCTGAGGCTGTGTACTACCATCCAGAAGGACCATTCTTATTGAAGCAGAGTTCTATCATCCAGGAGGACCGTTCTTATTGAGGCTGAGTACTCCAGTGGACATTCTCATGAGCTGAGACTACCACCAGGAGACCGTTCTATTGGCTGATACTACCATCCACGAGACCTTTTTATGAGGCTGAGTACTGCCATCCAGGAGGTATTCTTACTGAGGCTGAGTACTACCATCCAGGAGGACCTTCTATGAGGCTGAGTACTATCATCCAGGAAGACCGTTCTCTATTGAGGCATTGAGGTAGTACTACATCCAGGAGGATCGTTCTTATTGAGGCTGAGTACTACCATCCAGGAGGACGATTCTAATTGAGGCTGAGTACTACATCCAGGAGGACCATTCTTTTACTGAGGCTACCATCCAGAGGACCATTCTTACTGAGCTGAGTACTACAATCCAGAAGGACCGTTCTTATTGAGGCTGAGTACTACCATCCAGGAGGAGCGTTCTTATTGAAACTGAGTACTACCATCCAGGAGGACCATTCTTTCTGAGGCTGAGTGCTACCATCCAGAAAGACCATTCTTACTGAGGCTGAGTACTTCACTATCCAGAAGGACCATTCTTAATGAGGCTGAGTACTACCATCCAGGAGGAGCGTTCTTATTGAACCTGAGTACTACCATCCAGGAGGACCATTCTTTCTGAGGCTGAGTGCTACCTACCAGAAAGACCATTCTTACTGAGGCCGAGTACTACCATCCAGAGGACCTTCTTATGAGGCTGAGTACTACCATCAGAGGACCGTTCTAATTGAGGCTGAGTACTACCATCCAGGAGGACCATTCTTACTGAGGCCTACCATCCAGGAGGACAGTTCTTACTGAGGCTGAGTACTACGATCCAGAAGGACCGTTCTTATTGAGGCTGAGTACTACCATCCAGGAGGACGTTCTTACTGAGGCTGAGTACTACCATCCAGGAGGACCATTCTTACTGAGGCTGAGTACTACCATCCAGGAGGACCATTCTTACTGAGGCTGAGTACTACCATCCAGGAGGACCATTCTTACTGAGGCTGAGTACTACCATCCAGGAGGAAATTCTTATGAGGCTGAGTACTGACAATCCAGGAGGACATTCTTACTGAGCTGAGCTACCATCTAGAGGACCATTCTTACTGAGGCTGAGACTTACCATCCAAGGAGAACCATTCTTACTGAGGCTGAGTTCTACCATCCAGGAGGGAAGTTCTTATTGAGGCTGAGTACTGCCATCCAGGAGGACCGTTCTGAGGCTGTGTACTACCATCCAGGAGGACCGTTGTTGAGGCTGAGTACTGTAATCCAGGAGGACCATTTTTACTGAGGCTGAGTACTACCATCCAGGAGGACCATTCTTACTGAAGCTGAGTACTACCTTCCAGGAGGATCCTTTCACTGAGCTGAGTACTACCATCAGGAGGACCATTCTTACTGAGGTGAGTACTTACCATCCAGGAGGACCATTCTTACTGAGGCTGAGTACTACCATCCAGGAGACCATTCTTACTGAGGCTTTGAGTACTCCATCCAGGGGACGTTCTTGACTGAGCTCACACTACCATCCAGGAGGACCTTCTAATTGAGGCTGAGTACGTACATCCAGGAGGACCATTTCTTACTGAGGCTCAGTACTACCATCCAGGAGGACCATTCTTACTGAGCTGAGTACTACCTTCAGGAGGATCGTTCTTACTGATGGTGAGTACTACCATCAGGAGGACCATTCTATGAGGCTGAGTACTATCATCCAGGAGGACCGTTCTTATTGA